TTGTTAAGAAGGACCAGAGAATATCAAAATTGGATGGTGTAATCCAGTTTTATTGTGTTGAGGATGCAGAAGTCAAACATGAGCTTAGTACAGGCATCCAAATAGTAAAGGCAATTGGAAAATAAGGAGGGGAGCTGAATCAGATGCAGGGGGATAGCAGTGCCAACATGGAACATGTGAAAACAAGTGTCTTCATTATCCTCAGTGTCCACGTCCAGGTTCAGTGGAGCCTGCTGTTGAGAACAGGAGGAGGAGATCTGCATCTAAACCTATTTTTCCTTCTGTGTTGGTCCTGCCTAGAAAGCTGATAGAAGTAGCATAGCAGCCTGTCTATTGTGGCCCGTACTGCTTTCTGGACCGTGCCAGCAAGGTCAAGAATCCCTCAGATTGCAAGGTTGCTTTTGAGTCCTTTTGGGACAATGCAGCCTGCTATCCATTTGCTTCAAAAAAGAGCAATATTCCCTCAGATGGGAGGTCCTGATCTTTTGTTGCAACTTGTTAAGTAGTCCCAAGGAAGCAACCATGAACTCCTTTGCATTGTCACCACAGTTGCCATTGACCTGGCTGCAAAATTAGCAGCATAAGCCTCAGAATTCCCTTTCTTGATAAGGAAGGAGAACTCCTGCATGTAGTATTGTAAGAAAAGAGGGTTGGATTTAATCATGAACTCCCACATATTAAAATCATAGCAAACCAACCATTCTTGCTGGGTCATTATCTAGAGTCAAAGAATACGTCTCCCATTCAAATGAACCAAGGAAACTGGCCCTCTTTGCCTTAAGCATAGAAGCACTTTATCTGGTGGCAGGCACAACAAGGATCCCAGAGGAGAGTGAGGGAGGGAAAAAAGCAAACCAACCATTCTTGCTGGGTCATTATCTAGAGTCAAAGAATACGTCTCCCATTCAAATGAACCAAGGAAACTGGCCCTCTTCGCCTTAAGCATAGAAGCACTTTATCTGGTGGCAGCCACAACAGGGATCCCAGAGGAGAGTGAGGGGGGAAAAAACGCAATTCAGAACTTCAGCTGTACAAAATGCTTATGCTCTGTGCACTTTGCTGTCAGAGGGAGGCAGGCAGGGGTTTGACAGAGCCTTGATCAGTTTCATGATGGTATCCTACAGTGTGGCCTTACCTCTGAATGATCTCACTGGTGATAAGGTTCCATTAGACTACGTGCAACCTTCTTGACCACCTCTGCTTGGATACTCACATTTGAAGCTACCTGCTTTCACAAGGCCTATGAGGATTTGTCATCTTGCTGAGGGCTGGCCCTTGGTGTCACTAAGCGCCTTGTCTGGAAAAGCCACTAGGACAGACTGCAGTCTCTATAGTTTTCTCCGAATCTGCCAAGACCTACTGGACTTCCTCCTAAGGCTTGGTACCAGTCTCTCTGCATGATGCTGGGGATGGTCTCTCCACCTAAACCTCTTGCTCCACTCATCTGAAGTGGGTTTTGCTCATAATATATATTGTTATTAGTCTTTAAGGTGCTACAGGACCACTCTCTGAAAAATTTCTCTCCTAAACAGAGTACAAGTGCCTCAAGAGGTTGCCTCAAGAAAAGAAAAATCCTCCAGGGTTCCAAGAGGACCACTATATCGTTGGCAGGCCCCATGGATTCTAGCAACAGTGCTTGGGGGGTGTACAGACCTATGTGGGAATGGACATGTGCAAGCACTCAAAGAACTGCTAGTTCTACATTTGAAGGACACTGTGATTAGAACCAGTTCAATTAATTAACTACACCCAATACTTTATTTACCTTCTTTATCTAAAGGAATTATATTCTGTGCATCTTTAACTAAATCTGAATTTTCACAGAAATAGTGCTTAAATCACAAGTAAAAGATTAACTATATAAATGTACTTTAAGCTATATGACTGGTTAACTGTAGATAGTATATCTCTCTGGTTAGCAAAAAGCACAAAATTTAGTATAAAGGCTACATTTAGTTGCAAATCAACATATTTTAATGGTTACCAACCAATGAAAATGAACACTGCCTTAGAAAGAGAATTGAAAGTACAAATTCAAAATAAGATTAAGAGATTTAAATCAGTCCACCAGTTAACTAAATCCTGGACTAAGTTATTGTGTTTAATGAAAAATGTTTTAAATCAATTGTTTAGCATAATGCAAACATATTTTTAGTGCTGTAGCTACATCGGCACCTGAACTTCAGGCTTTAAGCAAAAGGCATCAGCGCGCGCGCACACGCACTTTTCACCATCTCATTGTCATTCTGCTTTTTCCTTGAGTTTAGATAGAACAAATTTTACTTAAGATGGATCTGAATCCATTTGCACTTAGTGAGCAATCACAATGGCATCTGTGTGCAGAGTCTTTCAAATGAGACTGGAAGTAGAGGCACCTTCTGGTTGCGTTGGGCACCTAGTGTAATTTTATACACTTGTGAGTTTTATTATATAAAAGAACACCCAAGAATATGTAAATATCAGATATTGGACAACATTATACATGGAATATTTTCACAACCTTAGTCCTGTGGTAAGGGAGACATTAACATGGGGTGGGCAATAGATGAGGGGCCATTCCAAAAATTTGGGAAGTGGTCAAGAGCTGCACTTTTCTATGTTAATCGAGGGAGTGTGGGATCTGGGATGGAGGTTGAGTGAAGGAGGGAGGGGGGAGTGAGGGACTGGAGTGTAGGAGGGGGTTCAGAAGGTTAGGATTGTGACCAGGGCAGAAAGTTGGGGGGAGGAAGGGGACAGGGTGCCAGGTGCAGGTTCTAACGAGGAGGCACTTACCCTAGGTGACTCCCAGCTAACAGCCTAGCAAGACTTGCATGAGATCCAAGTAGCCAGCGGCTTTAAGTAGGCATCTCTGCACTACACACCTCTCGGGGAAGGGGGAACTTCACACATTTCTAGCCAATTGGAGCTACAAGACTCTGCTGAGGTGCAGGCAGTGAATGAAGCCTCCATGCCCCCACATGGGGCCCTTGGTGCTGTGATGTACAAGCACCAACAGCTGGCCACTTTGAAAGGCACATGGGGGTATAGCAGGCACGGTGCCTATTCAAGGATCAAGACATTGGCGACAGCCCATATTTTGCCTGCTCCACAATACAGAATACTGTTCTTGAACAAAAGGAGATTAGAGGAGTAATCCATAACCTTTCCCAAATACCCTCCCACATACTCACCTTAATACAAGCTTTACATAAATATCTGATTGCTAAAAGTGTGAAGTAATGAACCCAAACTACCTGGCATTTAATCTAAAAGGCAAAAATCAATTAGCATATTTGACAACTTGAATCATTTGGTCTCATCCTTACCTGTCAATTGAGTCAACACTGAAGCAAAATAAATCTCGCTTATAGTCAAGATGTTTTGGGGTGCATCTGTAGATGTTCCCAAGGGTCATTGAACAGCCAGAGCAGAACAAAGTTTCAATCATGCTATAAGCAAATATATAACCACTTGTTTAGAAAGATGATTTAAATTGATTCTAATTCATTCACTTCTAATCTTACTTCGAAGAGAGTATCCACTACCACTGTGTCAGTAAATCACATTAGGAAAAAAGAGTGAAATGTGGTTATGTAATGCAAAAAATTACACATATTCATGTATATCTGTTTCATTTCATTCTATGAATCAGTATAGTCATGTTAGTCTGCAACTGCAGCATAATGAAAAATGTTTCAAATATGGCAGCTATATCAACACCTGAACTTCAGGCTTTAAGCCAACAAGGCCAATGCATCAGCACACACACATTTTACCATGCATTTGACAAAGTGGTTTGCCCCAATAAATCAGTTAGCCTTTAAGGTGCCACAGGATTCCTCATTTGTTTTACTCATTCCAAATATATAACCCTTGAACCCTATGCATGATCTTAGCAAGGTAAATTACTCAGCTATACAGCAGAATACTTTAGCCTATACTAGATAAAATTGACTTCCAAACTAGTATTTGGATTGAAATTTTTGGTAACTCCCTCCCAAGCAGTAACTAAAAGATCCTTATCCTATTTGGGGTTTTATGATTATGAACTGAATAAGTTTTCTTCCATTTTCATTCACCATTTAAGATTTGTGCAGGAGACATTTGAAGTCACATAATGAAACCCTTCTGATTGGGAGCATCGTTTCAGTGGCATGACCAATAGCAGCACCCATGGTGCACCATTACCCGCTGTTTCAAAGCCAGACCTCAAGAAGGTTCAGTCTGTGGCTGGTATCCACTGTGCCTATTCAGGCTGCACCAGCCCAAGGGATATGTGCGTACTGAGGCATTGGCCTTGTTTTGCTTAACGAGTCAAGTGCTGACTAGGGATGTAACAGAATAACCATTTAAACAGTTAACTGATCACTCTGGTGTTATCGGTACGGGAACGGTTACATGCAGGTTCCTGCCCCACTCTTGGGGAGTCAGCTGCCATCCTGCACCATGGCCTCTGTATCAGGGCTTACACTGCAGGGTGGCAGCCAGCTCCTTAGTG